AAAAAAAAAAAAAAATTGTAAAGCCCAGGGTGTTGTAGAGGCCAAGGACCAGACCCGCGATGATTGCTAGTAACGGCAGCCAATGGTTGTCCTGACAGGATAGGCCACCTACCCTACCCATCCCCACGTTAATACTCCCAGCGCACCCCCTGTCCCTACTATCCTCCCGCAGTGTGACCAGCACTCAGGACCATCACCCTACCAGTATCGAGGGCAACTTGGACCAGATAGCAGTGACAAGCACCAAGGCAGGGCCAACCTCCCAGCCCTGATGGAAGCGGAAGCGGACGAACCTTGCCGTGCGGGAACTTCGGATGCCAGGCTCATGCAATCTTCTACAGGCCCAATTCAGAGAGTCTACCGAGCAGGATTACCTAAGCAAGGCAGGCCAGCGCCTGCGGACGCATCCTACCGTCCTTCCCCTAGCTTACCCAAGGCTAGGTGGAGCTCAGACTATTCGGAGCGACTTATATCCCTACCACTACCCTAGAGCTAAGCCATGTGTGAGTACACCCCGTCATATACCTGACAGACCCCCCCAGCCCAGTATCATAATTTGTGTGTATGTGTGTATGCCCAGAGGCTATGTATGTTTGTATGAGCCCATAGGGCCATGTGTTTTGTATCTGTCTGAAGGCTATGTGTGCTTTGTGTAGTACCTGTAAGGATGTATGTGCTCGAAGACCAGATATGTGCAGTCTATGTGTGCTCTGTGTAACTGTATGGCAAGATGTATGTGCCTGATGGCCAGATATGTGTAGTGCTATGTAGAGGGAACTACGTGTTCGTTTGGAAGAGATGACAGGCCAAGCTGGACAAGAACCCCCCCCAAAGTCCCCAGCCAGACTCGAACCCGTGATCTATGACATGTGACCTGAAGATTCTACCAATTGAGCAACAATCGCAAACGGCCCCTGTGTGTGATATGCCAGACTGGGGAGATCAACAGAACAACCACGAGCAACAGCCACAAGCAACCCACGCAGTCTCAAGACCCGACATACAACACCATGGACAACCCTTGGGTGGTGCGCAGGCAGTCTCTGTATAAGCTTACCGTGCGTCAGCCCAAGGGAATGTGTCCAGCCGTGCGTTATTCTAACGCCCTGCCGGTGTCCATGCGCAAGGCTGCACTTGAGTTTTGAACCCACAACCTCATACCACAATGCGCATTTCCAGCTGGTGCTCTCTAACCACTGAGCTACATCAATCGGTCAGTTTCAAGAACGACCGATTACGTAATCG